GGGGAAGCCGCGCTGATTACGCAAATACGCGAGACAAACAAAGTTCCGGTTTAAATTTGAATGACCCTCGTAAATGTAGCCTGGCTCCTTTCATCTCAAACAGAACTGAGCGCGGAGGTACGGGTCACATCTGCGAGATGGCTAGGGATACCAATAAGAAGGGATAGTTGCACCTGCATTACTAACTCTCAGTCAGAGGAGGGCGCTAAAGACACCGCAGGGGCCCGAGATACACACAGGAACACACAAATATATGCGTATTCGTGTAGCTATTTTCATTTCTGTACCTTGTGGTCTCTTTTCCGCGGCTTTGATGCGATGGAGAGATCATTTGGGGTGAATACCAGAATTCGAAGGATTAGAACGCGAAAGGATGTAGGTATTGTAATGGCTTAAAGGCCTTCGGCCTAGCCACATAGGATCAAGTAATCTAATTCGTTTGTAATAATTACCTATTAAATAAATAAATAAATACTTTCATTTCTTCGGTAAAATGTTAACACTTAGTATACAAAATAATAATTGAGAGTTGAATTATGCTAGAATCAATTTTCAGTATAAGGAAAGCACTCACAAACCATGAAAAAATGCAACAATGTTGCAATAAGACATTTTAACATAGCTTCACGTAATTATTCTCGCAAATACATTCTGTTGAGAGATATGAAAAATGTTGGAACTGGAAAGAAATGAATATGATGCATAAGACCTGTTTGTGCTGTGAGCTGTCCTTCCATCATGAAAGGGGTGAAGGCTCTTACTCCAAGGCTGAGAAGTTTATACTCCAAGGCACATTGCAGTGTACTCCGGATAGAGTGATGACAGAGGGATCTCAAACTTACCTAGAAAAGAAAAAAAATCCATCAAGTAAGTTTCATGAATTCATAATTACACCAAAGAGAAAAAAATATGAAATTTTATTTATGAACCAGAGATTAAAAGCTAATCTTCTCGTAAAATGTTCTGATGTTTCGACGGAGAGGAGAGAGTGAGTATTAATTCCGGGCACGGCAGTCACAGAGATAGTAGTGTAGTAACCGAGAGACGGCGGTGGACCTTCGCCGTTGCAACGCGTGATCCTGCACCGACATACACATGTCAGATTACGTTTATTTTCTCCGTCCAGACATCTCTTCCTTGGGGCACCACCCAAGCCGGGATGAACTCTTTTCAACTGGTCGCTCGTTACGTGTGGTGCATCTAAATTGTACGTGTGTGTGTGTGTGTGTGTGCATATGTGTGTGAGAGTAAAGAGAGAATAAGGATAAAAAGGAAACGATCGCATGTAGACCGTGGTCCGTTTGCTAGGGTACTGCTCCAGCATTCGCCTGGTATTGTTCGTAGAAACCACGGAAGATAAGTCCTACATGTTCTTTTTTTAAGAGGATGGTAGTCGAATTACTGAAAGTATGGAACAATACCCGCACAATAACAAGTATTGGTAATTAAACTCGACTGTCACATCCATATTCGAACTTTTAACATCGTCTGTTATGTGTTAAATATTGTCCTAAAGACGTAAAAACAACAGTGTTGCAAAACTTATCACGGTAAACTCTGAGCAATAATCCAAATTATTGCTTACAACAGGCTTGCACAACGACTGCCCTCGAGAGCGTTTCCTACTCCACACTCAAGTGCAAGTGCTCTGACCGCGAGCCGCTGAGGCGCTTGTGGTGGTGGTGGTGGTGGTGGTGGTGGTGTGTGTGGGAGGGTTGGTAGCTTCAAGAGGAAAGACGCAGTCATCATCATCTTCTCATTGAACTCTAACTAGCCCCGCTCTCAGCATTAATCGCTGGCCCTTGACACCCTCACGCACCTGCATGTATCTCCCACTCCACATCCTCCTACTTTGCGAGTGGTGCCTACAGTACCGCCTGTGCCTCCCGGCCCCTTAAGAGAAACGTAGGGCCGTATTCATAGTCGACACTTGTTTTTTTTTTAGGAACACCTAAGTGCTTACTCGCATTTTCAATTCGTAGTCGTCTCTTAGGTGTGTGTTTAAACATTCACTTATTCCTGTAAGTGAGCTTATATGTTACCCTTAAGCGGACCCTTATTTATGAACGTGCAATAATATAAAATATTTTAATGAGTTTTTGGAATGACCTAAATCAATATGGAAGATCGTATACCAAAATTATATTTGAGACCCAGAGAAAATTCTTTGGAAATGCATAGGCTACAAGAATTTATAAAGAGATATCGTTTCGACAAGGATGCGGTAGTAAACATTAGTGCCTCTCTTGCTCACTCACAACGTGGACTTGAGGAATACAGGATAACCATTATCACCAGTCCTAAAAATGCTAATGGCACGCAGATTTTATGCAACATAATCATTTAAGTTACGTAATTTATTGATTTCAATTGCAGACCAACGGGGAGTGTTTTGTAGGTGCAATGATGATTACAATGCATCATATGGAAAAATGTTTTTATTTTATTATTTTTTAGTTGATTATGTAGATCTCGTAGAATAAGTCAGCCCTCAGTTTGCAGAATATTTACAGAAATATCTGAAGTGTTATCAAGAAATATTATAAAGTTCCTAAATAAATACCATTCAAGTGTTGAACGAATATCGTACGCTAATAATTATACTTACTAATCACGCAAATTAGGAAAAATTCTACCAATAGCAATTATGCGCACAGGACTAAACGCATCGAAGCAACGAAACGAAATTTATAATTTGTCTATCAATAGTCCAGATGCTATTCGTACGCTTAAAAGAACCGCCAAAATTGTTTAAAGATTGACACGGCCTTGTAGATTCGTATCTAGTAAATAATAAAGCAATGTTGCCAAATACTATGTAGCGACTCTCGAATAAGTGGGGTCTATGAATAGGAAAATGTCACTTACTTTAACTAAATGTTTATTACTTAAGCATGGTTGGACATACCTGGACGCGCAATGCAATTATTCTACTTATTTTCGCTATTAATACTCAGCATTTCTCGTTAAAAAAGGTGCAATTCAGATAATTTTCCTACGCACTGCTAAACATCAAAACCTTTTTTTTGTATGCACATCGTACACTTCTTACACGATATTTTAAAGCGACTTTTGATTTCTATTTTATTGTTAAAAGTACATACAAGGAGAGAGGATAGGACACGTCTAGGAAGGAAAGATCGTGCGCGGTCCGTGTGTTAGGGCTCTGCTCCGCCTTTCACCTGATGTTGATAGGATAAACCACGGGAAACTACCGATCAGAGTAACCGGCCGCTAGCTGACCTCCAGACAGCAACAGAACTCCACTAAGCTATCTGGCTAGTGTCGAAAACCCTGCCACCGACGGGACGCGAACATAAGACCTGCCGCTCAGGGGCACTGTTGAGACATCAGTTTATGCACTGAATCACCTCTCCCGATTTGATGCAACAGAACTGGACCTAGCTATTTGGCTAGTGTTGAAAACTCTGCCACTGACGACACTCGAACATAAGACCTGCCTGTCAGAGGCACTGTAGAGACATCAGTTGATGCACTGAGCCACCTCTCCCGATTTGATGCAACAGAACTCGACCTAGCTATCAGGCTTGTGTCGAATGTCCTGCTAGACCGTCGCGTAAAGGGCCCCACCCAACAGTGACATCAATTGATCTTCATGAGCCGCGCCTGCACCCATTTATCCGTGAATGGTTTCCCAACAGGAATAACCCATCTTAAAAACCAACTCGTTTTAACCGCCCACGGCGGTGCGGTGCTGCAGCGGCTGGCGGCGGCGGCGGCGGCCAGGTGTCGGCGGGGGGGAGGGGCCTTGCGCAACCTCCGGGGTTTCCGCTCCGCCGCCGCCGCGGCGCTGCGCGGGCAGGTCACTGGCCTGGCCCGTTTGCGGTGCGGTGCGGTGCGGTGCGGTGCGTGCTGCGGTGCGGTGCCGGTGCCGGCACAGCGGGAGCCGGCCCGGGCATTTCTGCTTTCGCTCTCCTCCCACCCCTCCCCCTCCCCGTCGCCGATTGGAACGCCACATCCCACGCCACGCTTCTTCCCGGGAACTGGGTGTACCGCTTTTAACCGGTAAGGAAGAAACATAAAAACGCCGGAAAAAATGCATCACAACTCCACAAGAAATAAAGCTTCTAAAAAATGTTCATCTTTTACTGATACGTTATTACATTTTTTTTTAAAATTTAAGTTCGCATCAACATCTAGGTCATTAACGACCCCAATTTCATTTGCAATAGTATGGTAACTGTGAAGATGACATGATGTGGCGATTATAGGGGATGAAAGGTCGAACACAACCATGCCAGAGGCGGGACTCGAACCCGCGATCCTTCGGTCCGAGACCGCTACGGTACTATTGGATTCACAATCTCGACCGGCTACTCGTTATTGACTTCGATATGGACATCAATATACACTGCATAACTTACCTGGAGAGAGACGATTGTTGTTACGAGGGAAATATGAAAAAAGGTTGAATAATGCTCCACGTTCTGTTATGAGAGAGAAATATAAAAAGACAAACCGAGACAAATTCACATCTAGTTAATTAGTAAATAACTAAATCTGAATCCTCCGGCCTAAGACCCTCAGGCATTTTGTCGCTGCTCTATTATTAAAACCCTTATAACGGTTGGTGCATAAATAACTATTTTATTTTCGTCAAACTCAGTCAGATGCTTTTCATCAGTAATAATGTTGAGGGCAAACAGTGTTTTGCAGAAATATAACAATTCTTCGACTACGACAACCGTCACATTCAACGCTTAGTGTCAATAAATGGCGTGAATAGACTCGCCCAACAGAGACTGATGTCAATACTCTACCATTCCTTTTGATGTGAAACTTTAGTTTGGGCTTGTAGGAAATTGCTTACTAAATCACAACGAAACCGCATTTAATAAACGCATGTACAGTCAGCCACGTGAATACTCTGGCAAAGCCCTCTTTCCTCTTACAATCTCATTTCAAGTGCGTATTAACCTATAAACACAAATTTTTTAACCATGAAACATATACCCCTTCATTACAAATTATGGTGTCGATTAGACCTGAAAATTTAAAGAATTCCTTAAAAAAACATCGGGTGTATTCGGAAGGGAAGCTGTAATTCCACTTTAATATTCGGGCAATTATGCGAGTTCCTCATAATTCAAAATAAGTGCCGTGTTTGCTACGAGGCGTTGGAGTAAAAACACCCCTAATCACGACCTGAAATATCACAGTTTTTACGTAACCCTTTGGAAAGCGGAAGTAAGATGTGTCGCAAAACTGGAAACCCTACGTTTGAGGGTGTGAGAATTGGTGATTTTTCATCATGCAAAGAACCGTATGCAAAGAGAAATAGCAGAAATATTAAATATTTGTATGAGAACAGAGTTGACGTAATACAATAAAATACAATAAAGAAGATCGGATTATATCCATGCCACAGAGATGGCAACCAGCGAATCATAGGATCAGTGCTTGAGAGCAATTTGCCGAACTAGGTACGAATACTTCACTTAGAATGTCCACTCATCCGTTAAGTGTGCCTAGAGTGCTAAGACGATCGATATAATATTCTAATAGCTATAAAAAAAAGTCATTATTCAACGAGCTTTATAGAAAGATGTTGTCATTTCCAAAGCTGTATGTACACAGACGAAGAATGGTAGGAATGTCGTATTTGTGGACGAGAGTAAATTTGAAGTGTTCGGATCAGATGGTAGGCGGATGGTGAAAAGAAAGGGGAATAAGTCGCTTAATAATAAGAATCTCATTTCAACAGTAAAACATGGAGATGGGCACGCAATGATTTCAGGCTACGAAGCCGCTAGTGGAGTGGGAGAAATTGCTTTTATTCAAGGTACCATGTATGTTACCGAATATTTTCAAGAACAATCTGCACAGAAACGCAGAGGAATTGGGAATAAGAAACGGTTTTATCGAATCACATTCATTGGACTTTAACCGGATGATCTACACAATAAACAACATGAGATGGTTAGGTTAAGAGAAATAAATAACGGTGACCACAAATAGGTAGATGATGAGTGATGACTAGGAAGTAAACTGCTATTGCAATGTTTTTATGCGTAAGGAGAAAAAAGATACGTAGAATGGTGTTACACTGTAACTGTAGTAAATTTCTAATTACTAATTACCACTTCACCTAACCTAATCTCTCTAATATATCTCAGTCGACACTTCACTACGCATTTCCGACTTAAGACGTCCAAGCTACACCTTGCCTTTTCGATTCACATAAAACAACGGCGAGTCTGTGCAACGCACGACGTCCTTGCAATGTTTGGCAAAAAAATCACCTGAAACCACGAGACGCCTCACATTCAAACAACTGCCTCATTTTAGACAGGACCCTGTGGATGATGCCAACACTAGCTGGATGAAGTCAAGAATTATCCGCTGATCGTCATGTTTAAAGCTTTATCCAAATCGTGAAGCTAATGAGCGAATTAGCCATATTTCGGACTTTCAGTTCTTATGTTCTGTAAACATTTTAAAACAGCTGAAGTTAATTATTAATACGGAGCCTATAAATATTTTGATTGCACATTATGATGAAGCTTCATTGTGCTTTTATTAATTTATGCATTATTTATTTATGGGATCTTAAACTACTCGAAGATACGAATCTCACAATACGTAATAGGTCAACTATTTGAATATGCAATATCACTTACAGTAACATTATTCAATATTTAAATCTATCTTCAATTCCCTCGCTGATTAATGATACGTACGACTATTTTTTTAAACAATGATTTTTAATGCTTTGATAAAGCATATGTAGATTTTACATTTTGTTGACAATTTCTAATCAAATTTGATGTTTCTAAAACACATAAAGAAATTAATTTGATAGGATATTTGAAAATTACAATGGTTTATCAATTACGTAATTGGATATGATGTTTAACAAATGTATTACAATTTATGTTTTTACAATGAATAAATTATATGTTTTGCCAGCAAACTGTGACTCAGGCCATCCGAACATTATATGATACTCAGGTACCAGATTTCACAATCTTTGTTTACATTCTTTCATAATCTATGAACAATATCGTGTAATTCAAATTTAATATTTAGTTACGTGAGAACATTTCAGAAATTAAATTAGAATATTGACGTCTGGCCCATGATTCAACTCAATGGCTCAATTTCTAAAATGAATCAAGTTTAACTTCTAACTGTCCAAGAGAATGAAACCATTAATCCATACGAGGCGACTCATGAAAAAAGCGCAGGCGTCGAGTGGTCAAACGCCTGGCACCATCAACAAATTGCTCTCTCGCGGAGAGATGACGTGGCCCTCGCATACTGCCCGAGCGCTCTCGCCCCCGGACAGCGCACGCGTGCGATTCGCTCCGGAGGCACGGGGCACGCGCCCCCCTTCCCCTCGCTTCCCTTCCCCACTCTTCGCCGTGGGCGCGCGCGGGGGCGTGGGAACGCGACAACAGCGCCCCACGCAACAAACGCCCACTATGCCTCAAAGTTTACTTCTGAGATATTATACAAACGCGGGGCCAAATTAATTCAGGCTTCTCGCCCACTCATGGAAGATTAACTTTTTGTAACGTATCGGCACAAGGTGGGGAATGGATAGTTTCATTTACTTTTCAGAAAAAAAAATCAGAATGTACTCGGAGTTATGTAAGGCATGCACAGAATTCGTAAACTTCAATCAACAAATTCATGAATAGTAATCTTTAGACTCATATCGAATACAGGATAAATTACTCATCCCATATATTGCATTTCTTATCACCTTCTCTACACGTGACCAAACTCATTTACGCAAATCGGATATTGACAAAGAAAAACCAGTTTAACCTGGAATTTACTGAAATGACGATATCGGATCGAATAAGATAATCGACATTATATTCTATTATGAAAGAAATGTCTTAATTAATGCGAGACAATTTACATCAATTACGTAACAAATTACCAATTTAGAAGCAGTGATTGCTTGATAGAATAATTTAATGCTCTACACCACATCCATTGACCGAACTTGTCGCAAACGAGACACCAATAACCAACCACTAGGGCACTAAGGCACCACAAACTAACCACAAACCACTAGGGCACGGTCGTCACTGGTACAACACTGAGGAAGATGGGGCGGAGGGATGGAGGAGGGAGGGTGAGGGGAGGAGGGATAAGTCCCCTCCCACACACAAAAAATATTCAAGCACATACAGTAGTTTAATTACAGTTTCATTTGCTAGTGAAGATAGTTTCAGGATAATATTTCAACGATAAAACTTAATCGTTTAATAACATTAAAACCGAAATGACAACATGGTGTACCCAAACCTTTTGCTGTTCCTCGTAAGCCAAAAATGTATGGAATTATATATTATGAACATTCCGATAAGGCAGGTCTCTACCATCTAGTAATTCCACTCCATCCTGCTTTTTAATATCTACCGAAGGGTACCAATAAGCACAATGCTTTCTTCCACTGCTGCTCCATCGGCCATCATTACTTTCGTCATTATTTCTCCCAACTTTTATAAGTTTATGTGTATAAGTTTATGTACATTATTGAATTAACGAGCTGCAACAAAACATTTTTTAAGGTTCCGCCTGTACCGAGTTAACTTCAATAAACCAATAATAGTAGTTTATGCAACTAGTTTATAATATTAAGCCTTATTGCATGAGAACATGTTTTGAAAACGAGCGACGTTAGGAGCGAGTTTTCAAATATTTACAAAAGCATAAGCCATTTTTTTGTATAACAGCATTATAAATTTACAAGAGAATCAAACTTAATTTTGCGAAACAACTTTCTTGTGACGTCTTGGGTATTTGACATCTGTGAATGATAACTGTGGTCGGCTGTTCCGTTTAGCTCTACCTCCCTACGATTCTTTCACTGTGATTGGCTAAACGTGTGATGACGCAATCATTCGTGCCAATAAGATCTGATACGTTATCATTCGTGCCGTAAAATGCCCGATTATGAACGATTTCTTGCAACAGAAAAGGTCGTATAAAAAACAACTATTACCGTGTCTTTAACTGAAATTCCGCGCTAGTGCCGCCCATCGTTTCGTCACGTGGTAGAGGTTCGTCTCCGCCCGCATCCTCGCTCGGCCATCCTCCCGAAGCGCCGCGTTGTGGGCCCCAGCGGAAGCGGCGCGTTGACAGGCAGCTGGCGGGCGGCCACGCGCGGCGCCCATTTGTCCGCCCCCGCCCCCGCCGGCGCACCTGCCACCGCACGCAAATTAGGCATCCATCCCTCCCTTTCACGCGCGCTCCGCTCCCCGACCACGCCACGCAAGCAATGCGCCCCCCACAGCCCGCACAACACACAGCCCAGCGCTCCAACCGGTTCAGGGCATCGGTTGCAGGGTCTCTAACCGGGAGGGTCCAGGGCTTGAGTCCTGTCAACGGTTTCGACACTAGATACACAGCTAGGTCGTGTTCAGCCGTCACGTCGTCAAGAGGAGAATACTAGTGGCCAGCACACTAGATACACAGCTAGGTCGTGTTCAGCCTCGTGTCGTCTGGAGGAGAATACTAGTGGCCGGCTGCACTGATCGGTACTAGGACCGGCACTAGAGAATGTCTCTGGCGATTTGGCGCGAAATATGGACCAACTTGCACCTTTCTCTTGAAGTAGTGCGGCGTTATCAGTTTCTTATATAAAAGGAGGAGTTGCCGAAATTAGATCACAGAAAAATGTCGTTATTGAAACGTTCCATCTTAGGCTGTAAGCAATATTTCCCTTCACGCCAGCAGAAAGCAATGGAATGGAATCTACGTAAATAAAACGTGATATTGTGCGCCATTTGATGCCTTGGTAGTTGGAGTAGACAAGCGAAAGTAGTTCTCGCAAAATTGAGCGAAGAAAACTCTTTTCAGATGATTCTATTAACATAAGAAGTAAGGAAACTATACCGTTTAACAAGACGGTTGACAAGTTTTCCTTAAGCGTTCGAGATATTATCTTCTGGAAGAAGTGGAAAGGGTACTTTTAACGAACACCCCAACCAAACAGCAACTCGGAAAATCGAAAAAGCATCACGGT